AGGAAGGGCGTGTTCACATCGCCTTCGACAAGCAGATACAAGAAAATACTGACTCTGTTCTGACCCAGTAGGAAATAAGTGATATACCTAGCTGAGTAAATTAAAGAGTGTCCAGGAGTGCTCCCAGGCACTGGATCTGGATCATCGATACTGTTAGAGGAGGAGGAGGAGGAGGAGGAGGAGGAGGAGGAGGCTCTTATGTGCCTTTGGCCCCACCCACTACCTCTCTCCTGCAGCTCCCAGGCACCTCTCGGTAGCCGGTGCTGCATGGACCTCTCCCTGTGGGCAGTTTGCATACGGTCACCCTGTTTTGGAGGCTGAAAGAGCCAGCTTTCTGGCTTGTTTCACACCAGCAGAGGTTAGTGCCTCTCCGTATTCCTGAGCATGCCTAATTTACTAGTATAACTTTGGCCAAAGTCAGCTCTGAACCAGAACTCATGTAGCTGTACTTAGGCAGTGCCTGAGCCCAAGCTAATAAAACCTGCTGAGGGGCAGGATATATTAGCTTGGGTTCAGCGCTGTGCTAACATGGCTATATGGCTTCCAGATGGTGCAGAACTTAGGTAGAGCTATTGCCTGCCAAAGTCCATATATGTATATAAAATACATACATATATACATATATATATGTATATAGCCTAAATTCCCCCACTGTAAAGACACTCATCAAGGTAAAATCACTCTTTTACTTTGTTTTGTAAATATAAGATCCACCAAGAGACTTAAATGAAACCACCCAACAGCATCCTCTGGAGTACCTGGCAGCTACCTTGTTCTTACAAGTTAGGTGCCAAGGTTGACTGATAACACTTAGTGTTGTGAAGGCGAGGCCAAGGCTGGCTGATATGAAAGGTTAGAGCATCACCACCAACTACCTGAAAAAAACAAGGTGCTGCTATAGGATGTTATAGATTGAAAGCAAGTCAGCCATCTGCAATACATACCCGAAGGAGAAGGTGGGTGTGCTACCACTCTGAAAGTTTAATAGGAGAAAGAGATCTTGAAAGGCCTAGGCTGAGAGAAGGAGAGGGCAAAAAAATCAAGAGTGCGGCTCTTAGTGTCTCCCCACCAGCACTGGAGAAGGAGCTGGCCAATTCCTCTTGCAGAGTGCAGGAGTGGAGCCAAACTACCTTCCAGGGGACGCGCGTAGGAGTGACTCTGAAGGTATGATGGAAACAGAACTGGCCTTCCCCAGGCTTCCTGACTTGCATCAGGAAACCCATTTCTTACAAGTTTCTCTTTGTCCTGAGCGGGGTGGGAGGAGAAATACCTGAAGTAAAAGAGTCAGAGTGAGGGGGCAGAAGATTCTGTTTGTCTGTCCACCTCAAACAGCAAGAAAGCCCAAAGAAAGTCTGCCTCAGGACTGTATGGTAACAGAAATCACCTTAATCAGCTTGGGCTTGTCAAAGTTGCCATCAGTTTCTTTGCCTGTGATGTGCAGACAGATGGAAAATAAATAAGAGCCATAGTGGTCTAGGAAAAGACACAGAAAGATATGGGACATGGAGGCTACCCGGGATGTTGTATTGAGAGCTGTGTGTTTGGGATCTGTCTCATTCTGTGGACCAGCAATAATCAGAGTTAGACATTTTCTCTCTCCCATTCTGAGTAGACAACACCAGGTTCTCTTCAGCATGAACGACATAAACAGCAAAAGGAATATTCTTGCAGCTTTTTATACGCCTCCAGTAAAAATGATGTGCAAACTGTTGCTAACTTCCAATTATAAAAATGTTAAGTGTTAATACAAAGGTGCTGATTCACTGGAACATGTTTTAAGTCTTATGAGACATATGGTATACATACAGGAAAAGTGTCACATGGAGTTTTTCAAATTGATTCTGCATCTGCATTGATTTTGTGCTGCAGTTCATCTAACACCCTTACTTCCATCAGTGTGAAAATGATCACCTCTCATTTTAAACACCATAGAGAGTTTTGGTGTCAAAAGGAGAGAATCGGCCAAAGGGGGATGCAGCAGAATGTTGAGGAGCTATTAAAAAAGAGAATCAAAAAAATCTGATCCTTAATTTACCACAGCCCCAGGGAAACAGTGCATTATATGTTGACAGCTTCCATATGTGTCATGCAAACCTTTATTCTTACTGTTCAAAATAAAATTTCCCATTAAGAGAAAGAGTCTACATTTCATGCTAAAACGATGCGTATGATACCAAATACTGTCTTAAAGAAAAAAGAAAACACATTCCTATGTCATGTGGCCTTTTGTACTTTTTCAGTGTTTTCAAAGGGGAAAATATGAATTGCAACAACCAGAGATTCTTCCAAAGCTGTTTTTATCAAACTGCTATATTAAATAGTTACAAAATTTTTTATCCTTCATGTAGACACATTATTATTTATGTGCCATCTTTAGGGAAAATAAAAATCCCATCTTCAGGGAAATAAAATTTCTTCACCAAAGAAATATATCTACACAAGTAATTGCCTAAAAAGTCACTGAAGGATAACTATAAGATTACAATTAATGCTAATGGTAACAAGATAGTGACACCCCAGAGTCTCAGTAATTACTGGTGTCGCATTTTAAAGATGCTACAGGAATAACTCTAAAAAAATTACTATGCGTCTACAGACTTTATTTCCCAGGGCCCCAGCGCAGCATCTGAATACCTCAAACATAAACCCTCTGACTTAACAGAATCCTATTTAGTTTAATGATCTGTTGCAACAGAGTTGAATGGATCAGATCTTATTGTAAGTGTTCCATTGGCTCCTGGGGCAGAACCCAATCTTGTACTTCCCATAACTCAATGACCAGCTAAAGGCATGAAGAAATGAGCTTCAGAATTGCGCGGCCCAAAGTTCACTTAAGCCAATGGAAGGGTTTTCCGTTGATTTTAATTTATCTCCAAACTTTCATAGAAAAATGATTGGAGGAAAAGTGGGTGGGGTTCTCTGGGTTATAAACAGGATCTGCTACATACTGAGTCATGTATAAAAATTCATGTTCCATCTGTACACAAACATATCATTCAACTGCTGGTGTTTCTAATAGCCTCCAGAAGAAACAGCAACCCAATAAAAATAATCAGAATTGTACGAGCCTGAAAGGATGATTTTCCTTATACTAAGCTGAAATGGCATGGCATAGCTCTTCCTTATAGTTTTGAAAACAGTGATCCCTAAAATGGCCCTCTTCTTCCATGAATAAACTGAAAAGGGAACAGAAACTGAGAAAAGAGGGGAATTCCCTCCTCACTAGAGCAACTACCTTAAGAAATGCGAATAAGTGTGATGCAGAAGGCAAAGCTGTCAGTGGCTTTGGAATTTATGGAAGAAAATTATCTATCACTTTCCTGATCTTGGGACTAAGACAGGAAAAATTTGCATAAACAGTTCTTTTACAATTTCTTCAGTGTATTAATCTAAAGTTTTCCTTCTACCCATACAAACTTTCCTGCTGTTTACTGAACCAATATAATTTCAAGGCTAGAACCAACAAATTGCTCCCACTATTTCTAGTTCCAGGGTTTCTTAATGAATGCCTTTCATGGCTATTTAATTTTTGAGAATTCTTGTATTTGAACCTCCTGGAAAAAAAGGCAGAGATGGAGTTTGTGTTCGAGCCAGAAAACTGGACGGATGCCAGCCCACCTAATTTGGATGCCTGACGGAGGTGCCACCTCTCCAGAATTGTGAGGGCTGAAGACTGCCCAATGCAGTGGTCCACTGAAAGCAGCTACTTCCCCTGGAGCCTGTGCTCAGGTGAGGGCCGCTGAAGACCAGCTGAATATAGTAATTATGTGCTCTTCTCCACACTGGTGTCTTCCTTTTGCACTGACCCTATTGGGGCTATATAGGCAATGTTAGGTGAAACCACCCCCCGGGTTGAAGTCTACCAACTCCTTTTCTCACGATGCCTCACAGAGGACATGGAGGCCACAGCAGTTTTTAACGTAACTCCCCAGCACTTGCCAAAAAAGTATGAGCAGCTTTGTTCACAGCCCGGTGGAGCCCGAGGGGGAATTCAGATCAAAACCAACAAGAAAACGTAGCCAGAACAAAACAAGAAGAAAAATGTATATATTAATCCTTACATCACGATTTCTTCTGCTACTCATTAACATTATGTCAGCTAAGGTTTAGATTAACTGGCATCATAGAACCCCTGACCTTTGACATAAAAAGCTTTTTGACAAGAAAGAGCTAAATCTAAAAGTTTGCTTGTAAAGTAGTGTGGATTAAGTGAACCGTCCCAGAAAAAACAGCATATAATTCTCTTTTTATTAGTTTCTAAAGAAGAATAAGTAATGTACAATTCTTCTAAAAATATTATTTTGCATCAAGATGCATTTTCACTTTTTAATGAACAGGATAACTGTGAATACTGTAATACTTTAGTCATTTTAAACTAAAAAAACAACTATGAATCTGATTAATTCGGTAGTATTCTTTCCAATTTTCAGCTAATGAAAATTTTTGAATTTTCAATTTTTTGACCCATTGCAAAATAAAAAAGGTTTGAAATTAATTTTTTTTCAAAGGATAGAAAACAACTCCCACATTACACCATTCTTAACCTTTCTCCAGCATCAGTATCAGTGATTACAAGGTAACTTCTGAACAGTCCTGGGGTTTCTTTATGCTTTTCTCCATGGTCCAGCCCAGAAACATCTTTGACACTTTATAAAACAAAAATTCCACAAATACGCTTGTGTTTCCAGAAAGTATGTATTTAATCATCAGTGGAAGAACCTTAAAATGAAATTTTATTTTTTATATAAGAGCTTTTATCCCAAACTTAATTTAATTTAACTTGATTCAATCTAGTTTTATAACTGCCATATTCTACAGAACTGAGAATATTAAAAAGTATGCTGGCTAGGGCTATGGCAGGACAAGAAAGACTGTGTTCTTCTCTTATAAACTCGCAGTGAATTGTCACCTATCGGAGTTAAAATACACTCTGTCCAGAAAAAGTTCACAGAAACAGGCCACAAGAGCATACACAGAGTTATGATCTATAGTTATCTTACCATCCCCAGTTTCAGCGCAGAGTTGCAAGCCCAGATTGTTCTGTGGATTAATCACCCAGTGATTGCTGGTCACAGTAATGTCAAATACAAACCAGCCCACATCAGAAGCCTGAGCCTTTCTTGTGTCTAACAGGAACAAGTCTGCATCCCTAAGTTAAGGAAAATAGAGAGTTAGGGCATTCAGATATTATCACTTTTTGTCCCTAACTTTCTTGCTGACAATAACTTCCTCAAGTCCAAATGAATAATCCTTTGACATATCCTCATCATGACACAGTACAGCATATGCTGTACCTGACATAATTGTTAATTATAATATAGGTATTTCCCCTTAGAGGCCTTTCTTAAATGGGTCTCCACACACAAAAGCTATAGTTCTGAGAAGTCTGAAAAATCTAGCTGCCTGACATGCATACACAAAATGAATAATCAAGATTGTTCATAAAGGATTCATCTTTCAGCACTAGAATATCTCAGGAAGATTAACTTTTATAAATTGTACAGTAAAAAAAATAAAAAAGTCAAAATCACATTCCAATTTCAACTGAAATTGAAAGGCAAAGTGTTGCTAAAAAAATTGTTATTAATAACATATGACAGCAGCTGTATCATATGACAAAACATGAACATGCGACAGTTTAGAGAGTTTCATATTAGTGCATATGTTTAGAAAATAAGTCTACATAGCAAAGTAGAAATTATATACCTATTCAGTAACGTACTTTAACCCCGAGTTCCCTGGTATATTCCAAAATTTCTTCCCACAAAACTTTCCAGTAATTCAGGAAGACTACTAAAGGGAGCTAATATAATTGTGTTATTAAATGTTTCACATGGATCATTTATATGTCCTGTTTTCATAAATCTCCTGACACAATCAGTTCCAGAACCACATCTGTATTACAAATAATGTCCTTCAATAACCATACTAAAAGCAAGATATTTAACTCTCATTATCACTTTACCCTCCTCCTGCAAAGCAGCATGCATTATTAAAAATTGTTTTCACCATTTAGCCTTCTTAACTGAAATGCATAGCTACAGAAACTTATTTCTTTTCTGCCGTAATCAAAAGACTAGAATGCAAGACGAAATATTTTATTTCATGTTTTGACTGTCCAAGTCAACTATAGACAGACTTGGCTTATACAAACCTTGGAATGGTACCGTTACCTCACAGACAGCATGAATATATACTTAAGGAGGTAAGACAGACAGAGATAACAGACTTTCTGTATAATAAATGAATTTAAAATTATGGTGGTCTTGTCACTGCAGTCTAATGCTGCTTAATCACAATGACATGACAGGTGATTACTTACTAACTACTTTAAATGGACCTAAAAGTTCTCACGCTGAAAAAAATCTTGTGTAGCTCTTGAAACCGTGATTGTTCAGCACTCAAAAAATAAGACCGAAAGAGTTGAGAGAAGCATACGTTTACTTACATGTGAGAAATATCTGAAGCATCAGGTTAAAGAGTACAGCAATGATGAAGGGGTCATATTTTATGTGTTTTTTTTTTTTTATTTTTCTATGAAAATTGAAAGAGCTTTCTTTCAATTCTCCTTTTTTTCTTCTGTTGAACTATAATCTTCTGCTGGGATCTTATCACTGCTGTTCTAGCATAACTAACTGTGTCAATGACCACACAAGGAGAAAACATACCTTCTCCCTCTGGAGCTAACATGAAAAGAATCTTACAATTCTAACAGGCCTGACCTGCTATGCTAGCACTGAACAAATTAACAACGTACCACAAGCTCATAAATAGTACTCTCTGGAGTCTTAAATGCCAATTTTTTTCTCTAATAAGCAGTTTTATCAGAACTTTAAACCTGAAAGGTTTAGTTCGGAATGGGATAGTCTTTTAGATGGCTATTTGTAAATATTTCTTGTATCCTTCGGTAAATTTAACAGAAAACTGTAAAATTTTTTGGAATATAAACTTTTACAATATTACAGTGCTATGACTTCATGTTTGTCTTTTCTGCAAGAATGCACAGTTATTTTCCTATACAGATTCATTCAGCTCTACACTTAGAACTGACTGAATGAAATATCCTCAAAAGAGCTATGCCTCCTATGCCAAACTAGAATAGGGCACTACTAATGGGTACAGTCCTGAAATCCTTATAAAGTACAGATTTCTCCTCAGAATCTTTCCTCAGCGTGACTTTATTATTCTGTACTGCAGCTGAAATACACGCTAAACTATCTTTGACATTGATATATCAATATTCTGCCCCACATTCCTAGACTTAAACAAGTAGATTGGTCTCATCCATTACCGTAGAAAATGAACCAAGTATTAGTTGTAGGTACCTACAGAAAAGTAGAACTGATTCTTAAGAACAGGCAGAGGAATAGAAAATGAAGTCTCCAGATGAATGCTAATGATTTAGACCATGTAACATACTACAGAAATTGAAAATATCTGTCAGGAAAAAAACAGTTTTTTTCATAATTCATTATAAACATAGGGCAAAAACCTAACCCCTCACGAGTAACTGATTGCTCTGAGATCAGTATTCCACCATTTGCTGGTTTCAGTCACTGAAATTTGTCAAGATATTTTGTGACATTTTTAATTTCAAAATTCTCCTTTATTCTGTGAAAACCGAAAACTATCACACTTAAAATGAAAAACATCTGTAAATTTTGGCTCTAATTTTAAAAAATATTTCTATTTAAAAAATAGCCCATAACACATAATAAAAAAGTAAAGCATTATGTCGTAAATAGCCTGAAACAAAACAGTGAACACATTCAGGCAGAATACAGCTGATTGACCTTACCTTTATGGAGGCTGTTTAAGTTTAGTGATCTCAGACTGATCCCAAAGGGCCAGTTGTCTACAACAGAACGCTACTCTGGTCAAGAATTTAAGCAAAGAGGCTACGGGCAGAATGTCTAAGAAGCTCCAGATCTCCTGGGTCATTTAAGAAACTGAAGATGGAATAAACCACCTATATGTTCCTTGAAACCTAGCAAAGTTTTAGACCAGATCGAACTGTGATTACTATGTAATAGGCCATCCCCATAATGCTGCTTCACCTCTTGCCTCATTCCAGAAAGCTGCTTTAGCATCTTAATGCCACTTGAGGATTCCCTAATGTGGGAAGAATCCTTGGGGTTTAGATAAATTAGTGGCTAGCTGCCACCAGATCTTGAACAAGGATTTGGCCTGTTCGAATACATTACTTTCGTCACGAGAAAAGATCAGGGTAGGAGTACCTTGGCAGGGCTATGTAGGAAAGTTTGCCTTGCCATTGGCTGCGCTTTACACATTTCCTTAGAATAAATAGAAAACTTCAATCTGAAACACTGTCATTTCAGCGAACTCTGAGTGAATTCAATACACACGCTTAAGCAGCCATGCTGCCACGGAGACAGAAAAATGACTGAGACTACAAAGCAATCCTTATTCTGCAACTCAAAGCCATAAGCCCTGCACAATACTGGTCTAAAAGCATAGCAGAAGTGCACTCCAGATTGCAGAACTCCAGCAGAAACCCAAGCTCCCCGTTTAAAGCAAGAGTTGCGGAGCAGAGTTGAACTGAATGGTTTTGCTGTGGTATCACACTAGTAGGGAGTGTGGAGCATTCTGCAGTTACAGCTTCTGCAGCTTCTGAGAAATTTTCACCTAAAATCTCATATACATATGCACGACAATCCTGAGGAAACAAGTCAAGAATAATGCTAATGAGGTCTGAGTCCCAAAGCAAAAGCTGTAACATTATTGCAAAGACCAATGATAAAGTATTATTGGGAGCTCATCCATCCAGAGGCATCAAGAAGCAGCTAGGAAACCAGTAAAATGTTCCTTACTTCAATATGAACAGTACAGAGCTTGTGGTCTTCTCTCATCTCATCCCTCTAAGGCATTTTTCTCTATATACTCCATATATAAGTAGAGACTGGCAAGACTGCCAATAGCAAGTAAACACTTGACTGTTAGACTAAGTCTGAAGTTTCCTCAGACATACCGGTGAAAAGCAAATGGGTGAAACTACACTGTTGCAGGTGCCACTTTCCAGCATCATGATTCAGTTAGAGGACAGGGGGCTTTTATGTTTATAAATGGAAATTGGTGCTTTTTACTATCCCAGAAATTTGCAGATAAGACTTTAAAGGAATCAGTAGAATTCTTCATTGGTTCACCACCACAGGTTCCATATAGATAATTGTCATTTTAACAAGCCAGCTACTGTTAAAGTTTGATCTTATTTCACAGTAGTAAGCACTTTTACCTTCCTTAAAAGAAAACAGAAACCACTTATTGGGAAAAAATAAAAACAAAAAGAAATAAAAAATAGATTAAAAAACTAACTTTACTCACTAATTCCTAAAAAAAACTTTTGTGCTTACAGAACTTACATCACCCTAACCTTGACTTGTGCCTTTTAAATAAATACATTCTCTTCCTTCCTGTTTTTTTTCCTTCTTCCAAGAAGTTTCTTTTAGGACTTATGTCAACAGCAGTTTTGCAAGGCAAACATAGAGGAAAACAATTTCTGCACTGTGAACCTAAGAAAGCAAAAGGTACTCTGGAAGGATGAGTTCATTCCCTCTTGTTGGTTCTGCTCCACTTAATATAAAATACCTCATTGTTTATTGGGTGAGAAAGAAAAAAGCCATAACAATTTTATATGTTTGTATGTTCAGGGTTCTCACCTGGAAGGTACAAGCTCAAGTCTTTGTGAGCAGAAAGGGATTCGAACTCTGGCCTGGACTTTGAGCTAACTGGTGATGGGGTCTCCAGAGTGCTCTGCAAGTTTAGGCAACCATTTTCTTTGCTTTGGTTAAACACACCCGGAATGGAAGCGTGTTATCTGTTCCAGGATGAGGGAAAGTTTTCATTTATCTCAAAATAAAACTTTTTTTTTTTACCTCCTTGGCTGAGAAAAGCCATACGACAATTTTATTTCAAAATGTTCACCAATCTAGCCGCAAAACTAAACATTTTGGAAGCATATAGCTTTTTTCAGAAGTGCCTTGGAATTGCTAACAGTTTGTAGTAGTAATTTTAGGTATTGAGCTACTTTGCCTGGCCTAATTTGGTCATTTAGTTAGGTTTTGCAGTCTTGAAAATATGTCACATAGAGTGTTCTACAAACTTAGAATCAGAGATTTGTTCATGTGCAATGTCATACTTGTTTAAATTTTCAGTTTCGGTAAGCAGCATGTGTTAAGTGCGCCTATGTCATCTTAAAGTTTATGCATGACTTGATGTGTTTAATTACATTCTGCAGAATGTTAAACCCATACGCAAAAAAGCCATGCTCCTTCAAAAGCAAACAAAGTCGAATAATTTATTTGCCTTTAAGGAGCTAAATGAATCTTGGCTTGTAGTACCTCTGTGTCAGCAAATGGGGTCTTTCCCAATTCCAGATGCACACTGTGCATATGATTCCACCATTTGCTCTTTGAGAAACTAATCCTCACCCCTCTTTGCATGCAGCAGCAGAGAGCTGTACGGGCAGATTATTCGGTGAGATTCGCTATGTAACTCTCCATAACACCAGAATAAATTACATTGAAGATATGTTTTATTGTTGCTCAATATTTGTTGTTGTTGCCTAGGAATTAATACCACACAAGCTAAGCTGACAGCAATAATACCTTGCAGAGGGTACATTTATGACCAGTTATTGTCTCTCCAACTAAGATAGAAACATGAGACATTATTTGAAACATAGCACATGCACATAAACAAGGTACCTGTTTGGATATTCCTTGATGATCTGATATATGCTAATCTGAATTGTTTCATTCCCGAATCGGCTGTTGCTTCTATCTTTATAAATCCGGAATTCAGCTGCTGTCACTGCTTCTCCATGTGGGATTTGAGTAAGGTCAAATCGAAATTCCTTGTAGTGCCTTCGCTGATGAGAAAAGTCTTTGTCTCTTTCAACTGTTAGAAAAAGAGCTGAATTTAAATTAGAGAGGTGAAGTGGACACACATTTCCTACGATTAACAGTGTTCCCTATGCTTAGAAGTAAACAAATAGAACAATACTAAACTGCAAATAATAAAACCACAAGTCCAGACATACTTCCAGTTAAAGGAAATTCCACAAGCCAAGTGTCTTCAGTTCAAAAGGAAAAACTCTCAGTGGCTTTTATACAAATTCCAGAAGTCAGAGTGGAAAGAATATCAAAAAAAGCTGAAAGAGGGTATGATGTTAAAGTAGCTAGGAATACGGGCAAACTAAAATCTGAGAAAGGATTTAGGACGTGAGTTCAATCATAAGTGCAGCAGCAGTAATGTCAGAGACATAAGACAGCTCTGGAAAACAGTGTTGCAGGGAGCAACTGGACAGACAGGAGGAAGGCTGATTATTTCCATTTAATGTAATAAATTCTGAAGAGGTGCTAAAGTGCAACTACTACACATTTAAGAAGCGGTTACATCATGTTAATTAACATGGTGTGATCTAACGGCCTAAAGGTCCTCCTGCCAGCAGTGCAGAGAAGGGTACCGTGAACGAGGGCTGAGTGGTTCGGGCAGCCAGGCTGCGGAGGACGCCGCGCTCCTCAGTCCTCCTAGAGATACGGCAGGGGTGCAGGAGCAGCTTCCAGGGTTTCTGATGCTGCCACAGTTTCCAAAAGATAAGCTAATCCCCTCATTGCTTATCCAGGGTTGCACAGAATTTTAAAGAGGAGAAGACAGACTTTTCCTTGATTTGAATTTACAACTGATTTGGGGATAATTCACCTATTAACTGCAGATCTGATCCAGAATTAGGAATGACTTTCTTAACAGAATAAGTGCTTTAATGTGGCAAGCAAACCTACAGGCCACGATACTGACTGATGACCAACTTTTAGGATTAATACTTTGAATTTTACAGACATGGAAGGGAAAGTGATCTGTAGTTTTCATTCCCGCAGAGTACAACGTGTTTTCGACCTCTGAACAAGGTAGTGCTCCATGCTCTGCGACATTTCAGAAGTTGCTCCATCTTCTTCATGATGTAGGTGTTTTGATTTGTTGAGGATGGACAAAGCCTAAACTGTTCAAACCTGGTATTCAGTTTAGATAACCAACTAAACTCTTACGGCTGTACCCAGCTCCACTCAACATTCCCCCCCAACTAAGCCCCACTCATTTACCCAGCTTTAGTATTAATATTCCTCAGATCTAGGAGAGGATTAATGTTAGTTCTAAAAAAGCACATGTCTAGATTACAGAATGTTACATATATAAACAAATATTAATACAATGCCTGCATATTTATAATTAGATGCACATGCACATATGTGCATCCACACATTTTAGATAGATATAAAATAATACATGTTTGTATATGTACGTGTGTGTATTAATATACTATGTATGTGGTATTACAAAATAGAAATATATTAGAAGAAACAACTATGTTTTGGGAGGGCCATATAAGGGTATAGTTAGGAACGCATGTAAATGAGTGCTATTGATGCAGAAGTATTTACATTATTTTCAGAGATGTGTTTAAGCCGTCAGTGGCCTTATATCTAGTCCTTTAGAGTACACTTTCAAAAATGTAAACCATCATTGTTTTCATTAGCATAATTCTTTAAAATGTACAGGTTTATGTTGCCGTAAGAACCACAGCAAACAAAATATATAGGCTATAAGAACACTTTGTCTTTAATTCAGTGAAAATGAACTTTCTCCTGGCTGACAAAAGGAAAATTGTCTGCTGACTGTGAAGTTTACTTGGCTCTAATGCCTATTTAGCTTACATGGGTTTGCCATGTTACATGATGTAGAAAAAGTAAAGCAGAAAAGAGGCAGAAGCGTATAAGCTGGCTGTTCTGTATTTGAAGACGAATGGGCTGCTACTGAAGAGAAACAGGATACAGGCTATTTAGCAGCTCCATTGCTAGATTTGAAACTGGGAGATATATACAGACAGGTTTGGAGTTTGCTTGCTTTTTTTCTTAAGCCTTTCATTTCTGAGAGAACCTGGTGAGGATTAGCATATGCAAATGCAGTGAACTGGTAAGGATTTTTCTAGAATAAAGATTTAATTGCAAGTTTCTAATATTACAACATAATTTCTAAATTATAGTGGAACAGATACAAAAGTAATCTTCAGATGTAAAATATATTAAAAGTAGAATTAAAGTAGCAATCACTTCTGATACTCCTTGGTTAATATTTATTCAACAACTACTTACCAGCATTTATGGGTAATTAAGCACTACGCACTATATTACTATGAGTAAGCATTGGAGAATTACACTCTAAATGAAGGTTTTAAAAGCCAGTGCTCCTATGTTGTTTTGTTTTCATTTGGGTTGGAGGTTTTCTTTAGTCTAGTTTCTTACAAGTACATTCTAATTAGTAACATTAGTTTGGAAACAGTAATTCGCTCCATATATGTTACTGTTTGGACACAAACATCTACAATGCACCATGATAACATTGGTAGTATTCTCTCAGGACCACTCACAACTGCTGAAAGAATACTGATAGCAATTTCCTGTTGAGTGCAAAATTAATTATTACAGCTAAAATAGGTGTTACTTATCTATGTTCCCATGTATACCCCAGGAAAAGACAGCACTGCCATCTGAAAAGGATGCAATCAGCCTCTATTTCAAAATTTCCTTAGGCCTAGACTTGCTAGGACAGAATTTACAGGTAAGTTATGAGTAATAACAGACTATACAAATGAAGGATTGAATAAGACAGTCACTATAAACTGTGAAAAACCCTGAGTCCGAAGAGGTCCCACTGTCCACAGCAAAGCCAGAACGTCAAACTGTAAATTTCTGTAGGCCAATGTACAAAACATAAAAACAGCTTTGGACAGGTTAAAGTTTTGCATTATATAGTGAACTGAAAAAAAAAGCCATTGCTATGATGTTGTAATATTGTCTAATAACTAGAATGACAGAATTAAATCATAAAAGCAAAAGAGAAACTTATTTAATGAAATTAATTATTTTACTACTGAAGATAATACACAAGTCTAGATCACTTCTATATTAGCCAGGGATGAAAAACTGCCTTGTCAGGGGAGACCCTGAGCGTTTAGTCAGGATATCTCCTAGGTTCTTTGTTCTGCTGAAATGACACAAATTCCTGAGGGGCGCTAAGTTTCAAATATTTTTATTTCACTTGCAAGAGCTATTCAACAGTGACAGCCTGTAAAATACAAGTTAAGATTTGTAATTACATTAATTTTAATTTAATACTTTTTTAATTTAATTTTTCTATATTCTCATGTCATCCCAACACCCATTTCACCTGCCAAAATGCATCTATCTCTCGGTTTGATCACAGCATCTATAAAACAGTTGACTAGAAAATGAGGAAGTACTTTTTTAACCATTGTAGGAAAATAATTTTTCTCATTAAAAATAATCTAGAATATCAGGGTCAACAGGATATCGGTGCTGATTACATGAAAGTTCATTTGCTTTCATTGACCAAGATTCTTAGCATCAATTTAAAATACCACTTGAAGCTAATATAGTCAGCCCTATGGTTACATTAGGCAAGTCATAGCTTGGGGCACTATCACAAATGCTTGTTTGTGTAAGATGGTAAAGAATAATTTTTGCACCCATGCAGCTCACTGATGAAATATTTATATATTTACACTAAGCACATTTATCAGAAGAGAGAAGACAAATTTACACCGTAGAGATACTTTAGAAAAAGGATCATCACGGATATCAGGAGAAAATATTTGTATAAATGAATCTGAGAACGGTACAAATTTTCAGTAAAGAAAAGTATGGCCTTCTGGAAAAAACATAAAGCATCCAAATGGATGGGCAGTGTAATAAGCAATCAGTATACTATGGACTCAGCTATAAACGTCTGTTGATAGAGCTTAAACATTACAACGTAAGAAGTGCTAGCGACAACTTTACGCCAAGTGTGTGAGGGACTATGATACATGTTCTTTCACTACCCACTGGTTTCCCACTGCCGTATGTTTTACCTTTCCCGAAGAGGCTGATATGTTGTGACATGGGTGGAAAGTGAAAGCTGCTTCATCAAACTAAGGATCAAATCAAAGCTATGTTGTAATAGGCTGATTTTGCAGTGTAAGATCCCAAGATCCTGACTGGATGCACACATAGTGAAGCCTCACTAATAAACTTAATGTCACTGTTTAACTACTAAATATACATGCCAAGACAAAACCAAAGGTCTTACAGACCATGTGACTGTGAGGGGCCATTTACACTAATCTCACCGAATTTCGCTGTTTGACTCTGAATTCTTTGCATAAGCGCTAAGTAAACTAGGCAGTTTTAATCACTTCGAGGTGATAAAGGTTACAGTAAGCTGATACACTACAAACGACACTCGTTTACATCTTGAATATAATGAAATGATAGTTTATCTGCAGTGAACACTTGTGGTTATCTGACAAAAACAGGTCAAAGGTTCCAGGCGTTTTCTCCTGAAATTACTCAGTGCTGCCTCTAATGACTGATAATTGAAAGCAGAGGCTGGAAATATCAAATGTGGTAGGTGACAGATAAGCAACAGATTAATGCAAGTACTCTGTTACAGGACACTAAAAGGTCAGAGGCCCTAGGAATTAGCTATTGTGCTACTGTGAAAAGACAGACATCAAATAACTATTTACTTCATTCTTGCTCTTCTCTCCAAAATCCAAATTCTAAAAACCCATTGTCTCTTCCAGGAGCAGATTATTTAAAGGGGTAACACACTTAACAAAATATAGCAATAAGGCCTGTAGGTAGCATAAAAGATGTGATCCCAGAGCTGAGTGAAAGCTTAAAAAAAACTTTGCTAGAGGTAGATATCTTAATGAAATGCATCTGAGAGAAGGTAAGAAGCACATTAGACTGAACATCATTCACATTCTGCAGAGCAAATACTTAAGGATGCTACATAACAGATTTAAAAAATGTATTTTTAAAGCTTTGTAACTTTGTACAGGCTTTTACACA